TCTCTCTCTCTCTCTCTCCCTCTCTCCCTCCCTCCCTCCCTCTCTCCCTCCCCTCCTCTCTCCCTCCTTCTCTCTCTCTCTCTCTCCCTCTCCTAACTACCTGTAGGTAGGTTGGCAGCTCCCACCTGCACCGCATGGGCCACCCCAGGTGAGAAGGGAAGATCTGGAAAGGGCCACTCTCCTATTGCTCAGCCTGAGCTGTGCCTGGGGCTCACCCCTCCCTCTCCAGTCCCATTCTTCACCCAGTCAGAAAATCATCCTATGGTCTTTTCAGATTCCCAGATATTTTTCATGGAAAGCTCTACCATACTGATTTCTTTAAATTATACGCATGAATTATTTTGATTTTTCAATAAACAATAAAATGATAAGCAAAACGGTAGAAAGGGGATCTGCCAAGATGTTCAGCAGCCCATCACCCTGACATTGGCCATCCCCAGTTCCCTGCAACAGAGGCCTGGAGCTGTGGATGCCCCTGCGACAGCCACTGCAAGGCTCATGCCAGCCACTCTCTTTCAGATCAGGCAACACTGTCATATGTCTACTCTACTCAAAAAGATGAATGTTCTGCACCCAGTAGACACCAGAATTTCACATGCCAGTGTGAAAGCGGCAGGGGGAGGCCACAAAACAGGGCAGTGACAGGAAATGGCGGGGGTGTCGTTTTAAAGTTATCCGTCACCTTTTTCCATTAAAGTTGGTCATTACCAAAGTGTTTTTGTGATATTCAAGATGAGCTCTGGTACCTATTTTTTTTTTTCTTTTTATAAAAATACCTGCTTTCTGGGCCGACCCCGTGGCACACTTGGGAGAGTGCAGCACCGGGAGCGCAGTGGTGCTCCTGCCGCAGGTTCGGATCCTATATGGGGATGGCCGGTTTGCTCACTGGCTGAGCGTGGTGCTGACAACACCAAGCCAAGGGTTGTGATCCCCTTACCGGTCACAAAAAAAAAAAAAAAAAGGAAAAAAAAAAATACCTGCCTTCTTAGCAATTTTGATCTGATTTTAAATGCATATGTCCTCTGAGCCAGTATGTCACATACAGTTCATTACCTACCTACCCAAAGAGCATTCTTTCCTTCTTCCTTGCTAATAGAACCTCACTGTTTATGTTCCAGGGAGGCCCCTCCCCCAGCCCCAGGGATGAATCATGATTAGTCTAAGACAGTCATGTTTTCCCATTCCCTTTGCAGACATTTGCTTTCCCAGCCTCCCTTTGGCACCTTCTGGGGAAGAAGGCATTAAAAGGAGAGTGCCATTTGAGGTAAAGGGCTTATTGCCACAGCCCTCTACAAACAGCTTCTTCCTTGCTGTGACATCTAGAGCTGAAGAAACCATCCAGCACTCATGAGGTGAATAGCACACGGACAAAAGCCAACACACTGAAGTTGATGAAGGAGAGAATGATCCTGGTGGTTAGTGTCATGATTGAGCTGCTAAACCAGCCTTACACTGCTTCTCTCCGCACTCCAATGTGAGAAAATTAAATGTCTTTGTTGGCTAAGCCACTGTTACTTAGATTTCCTATTACTTGCAGCCCAAAGAATTCTTAATTGATACACAAATAAATTACATTCATTCAGCAAATGCTTATTAGGACCTCCCCCGCTTTTTTTTCCTGGCCAGGCTCTATTTAAGAAACTAGAATTCTACTACTGAGAACTTACACAGATTTACCCACAAAAAGAGACCAAGATATATATGTACAAGCATATTAATGTCCAAGAAGATATGACCAGTTAAATAAATTAGCCATTTCATGGAGTTCTATTAAAAGAATATGGATAACATGAAAGATCTTCAAGGTACAGAATATGGTCCAATTTGACCATTAAAAAAATTTTTTTTAATTATCTTGTTCCCAAGAACCTAGTATCATCCTCTCCCTTTGATAAAGTTTGTCCCTGGAGGGAACAAACTGCCTGTCTTGAAGCCAAGGGCCAGCCCTCAAGGAAGAAGGTCCAAGGTGGGAACATTCCAGCAACTACAATAAATTAGCCACCCACCCCTAGCAAGTCACCCTAGGCTTAGCTTCCCACACATCTCTCCCCTAGACCTACCCGACCAACACCCATTTCCAGTTTTCTCACAAAGGATGGATCACCCATCCTTCCTAAATATGTAAGTCTCACAATTCCACAACCATACGCAGACTCCCTAGCTCTCCTGTCTCATCTGAGCCCTCGGATTGCACAGACAAGGAGTCAGCACCAGCCTTTATTGGGGGAGAGAAGTACCACACGCCCATGCCCCAACACCAGGGCTATGTTTCCTACGTTCCAGGCAGCAGCAGGAAGAGAAGCAGAGCAGAGAGGGCTGTGAGTACCCCTGGGAGTGTCACAAGCCCCAGGACATCACTCTCTCCTGGCTGCCAGGACAAGCCCCCAGAGTCACCAAAGAAGCTTTGGACAAATCAGGACAGCTAGGGCACCGGGATCTCTGCAAGTAGAAGAAACCTGAAGTCACCACTGTGCCCTCTTGCCTTGAGCTACCCAACATTTTTTCCCCTCCACCCTAGAGAAACTTGGCATATATTGCTCACAAAAGCCTGCAATGGCTCCCTGCTTCCTAGACAATCCAATCTAAACTGGCACTGAAGACTCTCATCATTCAGATGTCAACCTTATATCTCCTGTTATAAAAAATAGAAGGTATGTCTGTTCCTTTACCCATGTTCCTCCCCTCCCACCACCCCTAAATCTGTCACAAACATTCCCACCCTCTGTGCCTTTGTTAACAATCACCAGATTAGCTGTCTGGCATATTCTCTGTGCTATCCCTACTTTGTCACACCTGCCTAGCCCTTAGGGCATGGATCAAATCCCATCAGTCCCAGAAAGTGCTTCCCATACCCACGCCAAACATTTATAAGCCCATACTGTCTACATGAGGATCTGATTGGTGACATAGGATCTTTCTCTTCATCTAAACTATTTTTGACATTCTGAAGTACCCTTCCCAGCACCTAAGGCAGTGCTTTGCACATTTAAGTCTTTTTTTGCAGTGAAGTCTATTATTGTTGATGACGATGAACTGTACTCGCCTAATTCAGCATCAGACCTGATGGTCCAGTTGGGGTTCATTGTCTGTTTGGATGGCAGGACCGGCGGGACACAGAAGCGGCCACAGCCTGACTTGCAGCACTTTTCCCCAGCTTCACAGTTCTCATCCATCATGCAGCCAACGATACACAGGCCCACCAGAATGTTTGGACAGTCACCATCCCGCCCTGTGCGAAAAACAGATACAGGTAAAGAGACAGGACATTGGCTCCACTGTCTACAAGTTCCCATCTAGAACTTAGACATGGAGGCTCCAGGTGTTTCAGCCCCTGACCCTAACTAGACCAAACTGGCTGGGAAACTATGAAATCAGATGATCTGAGAATTTGTAGGGACCCAAGAGACCACTGAGCCAAGAGTTTTCAAATGGTGTCCCAAAGGGAGCTCCCTAGAGATAACTCAGGGGTTGATGGCTCTGCAAGTTTGGGGGTGGGGCTGGGCAGAGTACAGAAAGAGCGTGGCTCCCAGACCACCACCCTGTCTCTCTCTGCTTGGACTTCATAATGTCACTTCCTCAAGGAGGCCTTCTCTGCCAACCTAAATGAGGTTTGGTGCCCCTGCTTTGTGCTCCTGTAGCATTCTGTATGCCTCCTCTCATCAAACTTTATTATAATTCCTATTTCATTGTCTATCTTCCCTGATAGGAAGATGTAGCTATAAGCTTCACAGGACAAGTCTGTCCCCAGCACCTTGAACATTGCCTGGGAATCTAAAGGGACTAAGAGAAGATCTGGGTCAATGGTTCTGGAATGAGGTTCAACAATGCATGGCACAAAAGGGGCACTCAAAAGTATATATTTCTTTTAAAAAAATACTGAAGAAGCAAAGGAATCAGAATAAGAATGTTTTTATGTGCTATATATATATATAGCAGATAAATATATATTTTTTACGTACATATGTATATATGTATATTGCTTCCAACTAAAATTTCATTTGGGATGGGGGGAAGATATGTGCTAAAAATTAGGCCTGAAAGTCAGTGATCTGGGGCAACTCCCTCATTTTACAAGTGAAGAAACTGGAGCTCAAAAAGAGGGGTTTGTTTAACCAAGACCACAGAGCAAATCTACAGCAGAACCAAGACTAGAAGCCATGCTGCCTGCCTTCCAGCCTAGACATCTTTTCTGCTACCCCACACTGCCTTCCCCTAGTTCACTTGATGCTAACATGAGCCCCCTGGCCCCAGAAGGAGGGGTTGCTTTGGGTTGGGGGACTAGGGGGACAGAAAAGATGAGAACTCTGCTTCCTCCCAGGAAGGGAAAGAGAAGGCAGCCAGAGGTCACTCCCTCCCAAGTCAACTTGGGACTCAGGGGGCACTCAAAGGATTTCTTTCCAAAAGAGACAACATACCTCCCTTAATGTCTCCACGGCAGGCGTGGCCACAGCCGGTGCTACAGCATTTATGCCCTTGGGGACAGGACGCATCCTCATCACACAGCTCCTCACATGGAAGGGGGTCGGCAGGACATTCACCACCAAACTCTGCCATAGAATCAAAACACTGGAGCCCAGAGGTGCTCAAGCCCAGAATACGAAATACATTTTTCATTGTGTCCCGTGTATGCTAACGTATAAACATTTAAAATGTACATATTTATGTGCATCAGATATATGTGATGCACCCTAATATTTTATACTATTTCTATTTCTTCCTTTTTTAGTGCTGGCTATAAACTACTAAACTGATTTGGGGACTGACAGTTTGAAAAACACTGTTCAGGTCTAACCCATTGTGGCAAACATACTAACTGCCAACCCCATATTCACTCTCCCTTCTTTCTTACTGTGGCAGACATTTATACTGGTGGCCCCCGATGAACCACACCTCCTGAGGTTCGTTCCCTTGTGTAGCCCCCTTCCATACTGACTCTGGGCTTGACCACATGACTTACTTTGACCAATGGACCATTAGCAAGTATGATAGAAGCAGGAGCTTGATAAACTTGCATATTGGGGCTCGTCTTCTTAGAACCCACCCTCTTGGAAACCAGCTTCCATGCTGTAAAGCAGCTTGAGCTAGACTACAGAATGATGAGATATCCCATGGAGAGGGTACCTGGAGGAGGAGAGGACACCCCGGACATTCCAACTGCAGTTGAGCCTCCTGGTGAGCTCCCAGCTGAATGCAGCTGCATGAATGACCTCAGCTATACCACGCAGGTATATGAACTGCCTAGTTAAGCCCAGGCAATCCACACAATTGTGAGAAAGAATAAACTGTTGCTGTTTTAAGCCACTAAGTTTGGGAATGGTTTGTTAGGCAGCAACAGATAACTGAAACACTAGGACCCCAGGTTTGTTCTGAAAGACAATGAGTCCAGCTGAAATGATTCACTTCCCCACATTCTCTTGCAACTAGGTGTGACCACAAACTAAGCCATAAACTGGGAACACTTTTGCATTCCTGATCCCTTTTAAACTGCCCCCTTGCTTCTTTCTTCTTCCAGTCCAAAGACAGACAGAACATGGAGAGGTAGAACAGCCTTCTTTCAACCAGGAGGCAACTAGCATGAGGACAAGGTCAAGGACTGCAAAGGAGAAAGACAGAAACATCCGCATCCTTGTTAGCATCATGGAGCCACCACACCAGCCATGGCACGTACTTCAGGATGTCTTGTTTTGTGAGAAAAACAAGCCCCTAATTTGGTTAATTTTCTGTGCATACCGCTGAACACATTCCTGAGGTGCCCCTCCAACATCCTTATGAAGATAATGAAACTCAGAGAAGAGAAGGGCTAGCCCAGAACTACAGAGTGAGTCAGTGGCAAAGCAGGACAAAACTCAGCCTCTTGATTTGCAGTGAAGTACTCTTTCTACTACACAATCCTTAAAACATGCAGGCAACTGGCCACATTCTTAGGAGAAGGCACACCCAAAGAAGGATACATCCAAACCAAACTGACTCACCCTGACTCATTTGTCTCAGTGTTTATTTCAAGTTTTTTAAATGGAGATAAATGTGACAGGCACTCAAAGACTTTATAGAAAACCAAAGCAGGACTGGCCCAGTGCCTCTGAGTAGAAACAGGTAAGTATAGTTGCATATGAAAAGTCTGCCATAATGGAAAAAGCAAGTGTTGTACTCCAAGGAGAAAACACACTGCTAAACAACTGAGGCATACTAATCCTGTATCCTGGGATTTTCCTGAACAGCTCTTATTTCAAATATTCTATGCCATTGTGACATCACATAAAACTATGTCCTGATTTTATATTCAGAAAATATGGTCACTGTAACCACCAGATGCACCTCCCACCTGCTTGACAAACACTGGAATCCATTTAACAAAAAACAAAAGCCTTTTATCCCACAGTTGAAGAGGCTGGACATAAAAATCTCTCTTGTGGAAAAACCCAGTGACATAAACTTTTCATGGAGCTTATACAATGTACCCTAGAAAGTGGGGACCTAGAGCACCATACTTTCCAGATTTCACCATTTTGCCAAGCTTGGCCCTGAGTAACCAATGCCAGGAGCACTCTGCTACTCTCTGCCCTCATCCCCAGGACCAGGCATAGAGACATTAATTCTGCTCTCTTCCAGGCCAGCTTCCTTAAGATCCCTGGGGTTTTGCCAAATTTTAGAAGCAGTGAAGGGAACCTAGGGGGATATGCTGAGGCCCTGAGGGTAGAACACATGCCCTTTCACCAGTGACCAGCACAGCCACCCAATCTGACACCTGTCTTCTGCTTACGTCACTGCCAAACAATCCCCTTCTCTCAGCTCAAACATCTGGAATTAATGGGGCCCCACTACCTCCAAGCCAGACTGTGCCATCCTTATACTTAAGGTAGAAAGCCTTTATATTCCTTATTACTCACCTGAAATCTGGTTTGCTAGGAATTCTATCCATTGGTCCTTTTTCTATCCCTAGAGACTGTGCAAAAACATGGTTCCTGCCATCCTTTGAGACAGGATCTTCAGCCTTTCACTGTCTTAGTTTCACCAGGCTAGGTAGGCTCAGTTCCTCATAATTCATGGTTTCCGATCACTTCACAATTATCTTACCAGGAATCAGGATGAGAACTAGGAATGGTAGTCAGAATTGGGATGGTCATCCCCACTCTCCATCTGCACCCATCTCAAGAACCCAAACTATCACCAAAAAAGTAGTGAAGCTGAAGACTTGGAAATTTTCACACACAGTCTCTACTGCTGCCTCAGTTCCAGCCTTCTACTATGCCTCAGAGAAGAATGCCAGTTGCCATCAGAAAAGTGAAATTTTAAAACTTCTTAAGCCAAAAAAGGCCCTCTAAGCTATCAAACCTACTCCTCTTCTCTTGCAAACAGACAGACAGACATCCAGGAAGGGGAGGGATTGGCCTGAGGTCAATGGTGGCAGAACTAGGTCCCAAATCCCCAGCTCTGACACAAGGCCTTATGCCCTTTAAACCACATCATTATGATCACCTACACTCCAATAAGAATCACCCAAAAACAAATCAACAAGCGCTGGGATTCACTCAGCTCAGTACTGCCAAAAAAGAAGACCCAGTGGAGACAGTTTTGGGGGTTAGGAAAAACCAGTCTGTTGGGAGTCCCCAAGACCATTCCCTGATTTGGCGATTTGTTAGGAGGACTCACAGGACTTGGCATATAGTTGTACTCATGGCTATGATTTATTACAGCAAAGGATACAAAGCAAAATCATCAAAGGAAAAAGGTATGTGGGACAAAGCCCAGAGGATCAGGTGCAGGTTTCCAAGAGTCCTCTCCCAGTGAATTTCACACTTAGTTCCTGTAGCACAGAATTGTAACAACACATGTGAAGTGTTGACTACCAGGGAAGTTCATCAGAGACTCAGTAAGCAAGGTTTTTATTAGGGGCTGGTCACATAGGCACCCTCTACCTAGCATGTACCAAAATTCCAAACTCTCAGAAGGAAAGCAGAAAGTGTTCAGCCTAAACCATACTGTTTGCACAAACAGTTTAGGCAAAGTGAGCCACTCTTATCAGTTAAGGTGGTAAGAGCACTCCCAAAATCTAAGTTCCCAGAAGCCAACCTAGGGCCAATCTTGCCAGCAGGCCTTTCTAAGAACAGCAGTCCCAGTCCTTCTATGTTAATTCTTTTCTGTACAACAAGTAGTGAGGTTTAGAAAAAGGTCAGCCAGACACACAGGGAGCCCATGCCATCAATTTGTACAAAGGATATAATGCATATATTGTAATAAGCAAAACAGAGTGTCACAGGCGATCTGGAGTGGTCAAGTTTCATACGTGGGAAGGCAGGCCTTGAGGGGGCCCAAGAAGACAACTCTTAGACCATAATCTGAATCTTCATTCCAAAACTTTGTCCTCCCAAGGTTGTCCCCTTCTCAGTAAAGAATACCACCATTACCCAAATGCTCAAGCTAGACACCTAACACTCTTCTTGACACCCTCTTAACCTCAGTGCCCACAGCCACTTACTTCTTCACCCAGTCCTGTCAACATTACCTTCAAAAGTAGGTCAAGCCTCCCACTTTTCTATGTCTGCATCATCACCACCCTGGTCTAGGTCATGATCATCTCTCACCCTGCCTGCCACAATGGCCTCTTAACTGGTCTTCCATCTTCTATGCTTACCCCCCTCCATTCTTCGTACACTAGCATGGTGGTCTTTTTAAGATGAAACTGGACCAACCTTCTTCTGCTTTTAAACTCCCTCAAAGGCTTCCAACTGCACTTAGAATAAAGCCTAAGAGAGAAGACCCACCAAGTCTGAGCCCTACCTCTCCGACCTCAGCTGGAACCACCCTCCTTCTCTTTTCTCCAGCCATGCTGACCTCCTTTCACTTCCTTAAAAGCAGTAATCTCTTCCCCACCTCATAGCCTTTGCCCTTGCAGTTTCCTCTCCATAGCACTCCACCCCATGGCCAGCTCCTTCTCGTTCTTCAAGTTAAAATGACACAGCCTCTACACCTCTCTTTTAATTTCCTTCATAGCACTCACCACAACATGTGGTTGTTATTTATTTGTGCACTTGATTATTTCCTGTCTCTACACCATGAGAGTGCACACCATGAGTGAGCCCATCACAGCAGGGACTGTGACTGCCTTGCTCCCTGCAGGATACTCATATGCCAGGTGGGGTAGACACTCAACACATATTGAATAAGTGAAAACGTGAGTAATCAAGCATGTGAGTGAATAAATGGACTGGTCAGACTTCAGATAAGCAAGGAGGGCACCTGACAGAGGTGCTGGGCATAACTACATGAGCTGCTGAGCATTATCTGGCAGGTTTAGTGCAGTCTTTTTAAATGCATTTCTTCACAACTCTGTGAGGTAAATGTCCTCATCCCCATTTTACAGACAACAAGAGTGAGGTTCAGAGAGATGAAAGGACCTGCCCAAGGCTACCAGGAAGCAAGCAGAAAAGCCAAGATTCAGACCCATGTTCAGACCAGAACTGCCTCATGAGAGTAGGTCCCAGTGTCTGCCCTGTGCCCTCAGGCAACCTGACTGCCCCTCCACCCTGCCAAACAGACCAGCACTGGCTATGATAAACCTCTGGCAATGTCAGAGCTTAAGGAAAGCAGGAATTTTTCATAGCCCAGGAAGGACAGCTTCCTGTGTAGCAGCCAGTCCCGTTGGATGAGTGGCCTAGCCCTCCCCTAGGACTGGAACTGTAGAAAAGTAGTTTATTACTGCTACTACTAGCAGCCAATATTGCCTCTCACCAGGCTAGCAGCCCCACTCAGCCAGTGAGCTCTGGAAGATCTGACTGAGATCACTATGCTAGCCTGCCTGGCTCAGTACTAGGGAAAGGGAAGCCCTCTCCAGGCTGGCCAGGGGCCAGAGCAGCTCACAGAGGTACTGTGCCTGGGTGCCAGCCTCACCTTCAGCCCCTGCAACTCTCATCAGCTTCAAACACTGGAAATATTGTACTGGCCCTACAAGCTGGCAGTGAGTGACCTGCTTGAGACAGATTCCCAGGCTTTGGTTGCAGAGCTGGTCCTCAAGAGTCCTGGCAAGGAGTACAACCTTCTATTCTCTCTTATGGGCAGGCTGCCCAAGATAGCTGCCTAAGGCACAGACAAAACCAATGGGTGCTGGGAAAGGGCCTGCTACCTGGGGAGGTCTGGGTAGAAGAAAAGAGATTGTCATGTGTTGTGGAGTTCCAGAGTCTCAGAGAGAAAGTGATCAGGGGAGGAGAAAACTATACTGGTTCCAGACAAAAGGGACTGGTTAGAAACTGTGCTTCTGACCCAGCCCAACTTAGGAAGCAAGAGGAAGGAAGCCAATGTATATTAAGGGCCAAACACTTTACATACTTTGAGGCACTATGACAACCCTCTGGGGTTTGTTCTTTCTATCTTACAGAGAAGGGGACTGAGGCTCAGAGAAGCAGAAGAGACTTGCCCAGGGACCTGCTGGCCAGTAATTGGTGAATGTCAGGCTTTTTTTTTTTTTTTTTTTAAAGATGACCGGTAACCCGTTGCTGGTCCCCGGTACGGACGCGACACCGAGGGTTGCAATCCCGTTACCGGTCAGTAAAAAAAGACAAAAAGGAAAAAAAAAAAAAAGATGACCGGTAAGGGGGTCTCAACCCTTGGCTTGGTGTTGTCAGCATCACGCTCAGCCAGTGAGCTAACCGGCCATCACTATATGGGATCCGAACCCGTGGCCTTGGTGTTATCAGCACCACACTCTCCTGAGTGAGCCACGGGCCGGCCCAAACCTCAGGCTTGAACCCAGGTCTCTGACAACCCAAACCTAGGCTTTTCCACTTTAACATGCCACCACATGCACTAGGATGACAGAATGGTTCCAGTTCCTTTAGAAAACCTACTGGAAGACACCATTCCAGACAGCAAAGAAGAAAATAAAATACCTATGCTTAAACTTATTAAGAGATATTTTAAACTATAAAACACCCTGAAATACACCAAATACACTTAACAATGGGAAGACATAAAGACTCAACCTTACAAAAATGTCAGTTTCCCCTAAGCTAATTTATATATCTAACATCGCTCCAATAAAAGTAGCCTCAGTATTTGGGGGTAGGGGAGAGAAATAAACAATGTGATAATAAAACGTATTTGGAAACACAAACAAGCAAAAGTAGCCATGAAAATCCAGAAACAAGATGTAAATAAGACGGGGTTAGACACAGAAGAGACACCATCAATTTCTAATACCTTTTAAGGGTCTTTCAATGGGAAAAGAGGCAAGGAATTCAGTAGAAAACTCTGTCACTCTACCTCCAAATTCTCTCAACTGTGCCATCTTTCTCATTGCCCACTGCCACCTCCCTAGTCTCACTGGTCTCCATTCTCACCTGGCATCATTCTCCCCCTCCCTACCTCTCTTCTAACTGTACCAGCCTTCTTTTAGTTTCTCAAATGTAATAAGCGCCTTCTCATCATTAAGACCTCTGTGCATGCTTCTCTCTCCTCCTGGAATGCCCATCACACCTTTTCCCTGGCTAATTTCAACTCCTCCTCCAGGTTGCAGCTTAAATGTCCCTACCCCATACACGCCTTCATTGACCACCCAATATAAAGTGCATCCCTCCATTATTCTGTCTCTCAGCACTCTTTAATTTTCCTTCATCATTCTTATCACAGTTTGAAATTATATGTTTATTACATGCTTATTTGTTAAACCTCTTTCTCTCCCACTGAACTATGAGGTCCATGAAGGCAAGGGTGAAAATTACTTTGTTCACCAAAGTATACCCAGAACCCATCACTCGATCTGGCAAACAGGAAACATTCAATAAATATTTGCTGAAAGAATGGATGTATAAATGGAAATTAGGTCGCCCTGCAAGAGGAAGAAGAATTCTCTTTCAAATACCTCTCTACCAGAACCAAAATAAAATAGAATATGTTTCCAACAAGAGATGGCCATCCTGTTTGTGTACAAAAGGGCCACAGAGTCTTAGAAGCAAGTGAGTGCTTCCCTTAGATATTGAATTCTATTTTGCTATCTCTTTGCAGAGTCTCAGCCTGAGATTTTAACAGAGAATATCACAACTGATGGTGGGAATTACCCAGCAGCTTTCAAACCTGTCTGCAAATGGGGTGTGCTGAGATTGCCCTTCTGGCATCCTCCTATGACTGTCTATGCCACATACCACAAACCATCATGGCTTGGGTACACTTTTCACATCCTTTTTTAAAAAAAAATTCACAGAATATAGCAGGCACTTAATTATTGTTTTTCAAAGTAAAGTAAAACCAACAACAAGATGGTGTGTATGTATCTGAGAAACAAACAAGTAGGCCAAATAGACCATGGGGTATGGGGATGGGGTTTCTTACTTGGTTTCTGTTTAGAGACTGGAACTACGCAGCTCTTGTTGCAGCCAAACATGCAGCATTTCTTTACACCTGGACATGTTTCATCAGTGATGCACCTTTTAAAACAGGATTGTTTCCGAACAACCCTGGGACAATCTCCTTTCCTCCCTGAAGCAAAAAGGGAGACAGCCACAGAAATGAGATAATGGTACCCCGTGACCCACACAGACATAGCAGAGGGAAAATCAGAGGAAGGAAGCCCTGCGTTTCATTTAAAACTCTCCACCTTGGTGCTAAAGCAAAGATACAATAACAAGAACAAGAACAATAATAATAATTAACATTTACTGTAAAATTTACTGATGTTTACCTTGTGTCAGGAATATCTCATTTGATCCTCACAATTATCCCCATTTTACAGGTGAAGAAACTGAGGCCAAAAACTTAGGGTTTAAAAAGAGTTCTTTAAATGTTTAAGGCTTATATAGGCTTTAAAAGCTCTGCCTGGTTCTAGGGTATACTCTTTTAATCACTATGTTAAACAGGCTTCCCTTCACAACTCTGTTCTCCAGCCCTCACAGGAACTCTGAGTCCAAACAGACAATCAGTGGTGCTTTCTTTCCTGATAGAAGGCAAAGAACTGGTGGCACTGAGTGATTAAAGGAGAAGAGACCCAAAAGGGGGAAAGAAAAGGTGCTGCAGGCAAACTAGATTTCAAGAGCCAATCTAGGAGGTAGGAAAATCTCTGATTCTATGTATCCCAGAGGCAAGGTCAGAGAGCACACTGGGGTTTTGCCCCTCATGCCAACATACCCTTAAGAACGACTCTTCGGCAGACCCGGCCACAGCCTGTGCTGCAGCACTTCTGCCCAGCCGGACACGATTCGTTGTCTTGGCACAGCTCTTTGCATGGGTTCTTATCAGGAGGGCATTCTCCTTCTTTTACTGAAAAAGATATCATGTGAGGTTGGGGTGGCCAGGCCTCAAGAAATAGGGAACGGAGGCCAAATGTACTTCAAGGTCTTTCGACCTCTCCAAACATTCCTATCCAAAATATCTCTGCAATCACCTTCCCCTCCTACCACAGAACCACTAACATGCACCCATCACTACTAAAGGATCAGCCATTCTGCAGATAAAGGGAGAGAGGTTGGGATGATCCTGTTCTCATCCAAGGAGCTCTAGGAAAAGGTAGAACCTCTAGTAAGCCCAACTGGAAGTCCTATTTCCTGGCTCAGAGAGGGTAAAGAAATCCAAAAGTCCTATTCTGGCTGACCTAAGAATTTATTCATCCAGTCCTGACCTACAGAATTTCCACAGATAAGGAACCTCACTCTGGGAGGAGTCAGGGGATGACTTCTCCTCTGGTTGCTTTCTGTTACTACTAGTGAGGGGTCCCAAATGATAGCTCACCATGCTCTCCTGCAGTTACCCATGATGCCAGGAACCCAAGAACAAGAAATGCCTTCAGAAGGAAGAGGCAGCTTAACATCATGATGATGCTGACAGGCAAGATGAGAGCTCAGTTCAGACCAGAGGTATACACCTTGCCTAGAGTATCAATCAAGGAAAGGGCAGGACTAGGGGATTTCCCTAAATCCAATCCCAAAGCCGTCCCTTTCGCAATATTCTCAAGAACGTCTTCTGACAAGAAGAAGGGTAATTGGTTGCTCATGTGTGGGAAAATTCCTGGCACTACCAAAGGGCATATGTGATGGGGCTGAACAAACTCTGTAATGCAATGTAGACAACACCCCTGAACAACAATTAGACACCTAGTGTGTAGCTGGAAAAGCAGAGGGATGGCCATTGGATAAAGAACCAAAAGAGCCCTAAAGGGCTTTGGAAGGACGCAGCTGTAGCCAAAATGACAGAGGGAAGGACTAGAGACACTACGTAATAAAAAATAACCAAAGCTAATAAAATAACCAAAGCATAATAACACTGGGGCTCCTGTTCATCTTTGCAACCTAGAAAAGACAGAATGGAACTGACCACTTGGAAACTATCAAAAACCTACAAAAAAGCAGTATTTGGGCTTGTTCAGAACTAATACAAATGCACAAAAAACCTACATCTTGGTCCCTCTGGCCCACACATGCTATTCTCAAACTGTATCTAGGCTAGTTGGCAGAACCTAAGAGAACAGTTACTATGATTCAAAAGTCTTGCTCATATATAGTCTCTTTCTTTATCTCTTCTTCCTCTATTTCTTTGATTTTTATCTGTCCTGTTCATATCTTTGGTCAGCTTTGATACCTAGTGGTATCCACTGGCACTGCTTAGCCTTGTGAGGCTGAAGGGCAGGGGATATTCAAGGCACAGGTAAAAACTTCCTTAATAGGGCCAAACAGTTTGGTGCCAAGAAGTTGCCCATATTATCATAAGGCTGCTGTTGGAGCATGAAGATAATTGACATTTGTTGATAACCTAATATGTGCTTTATATACATTATTTATTTTAATCCTCACAATAATCTTGCAGAGGTTAGAAAACTGATTCATTGGGGCTAAGAAAAAATGCCCACAAGTTGTGGCCACTGGAATTTCATAGTAATAATGACATACGGTACTGTTTGAGGGTTTGCTTGTTCCGCAGTTTTAGTGCTTTATGTGAGTTAACTCACTTATTCCTCACTGCAACCCTACAAGCTAGATGCTATTATTCCCATTTTACAGTTGGGGAAACTGAGGCACAGAAGGTTTAAGAAATGTAGATTACACAGCTACTGAGTGGTAGAACAAAGACAGGCAGTCCAATTCCATAGCCCATGTTCCTAACCACCATACCATACCAAATTTGAACCCGGATCTTTCTAAGTGCAAAACTCATGCATTTTCTACCACACCATATCGAGACCTGGTAAGAGTAACTTTCTCTACAACCTATAAATGGATCCACGGAGACGTCTTATCTCCGAGACAAAGTTAAGGAGAACTCTGGGGAACTCCACAGCTGTTAATCTCCTGCATCCCCGGCCCATCCTAGAATCACCCGTCTGGGGAGAGAAAGAAGCCCAGCTCCCTGGGGCTGGAGAATTCCGCGGGCCAAGACCCAACCTTCATTCTTACACCTTCAGACACAAGAGGGAGCCCTGGGGTCAAAGCCTGGAGAGATCCGGTGAGTGTTTGGGATGGCACGCACCAGACCTCCAGACCCCGCCCTCGTTGGGTTTCCCTTCCCCGCATTCGGTCCTCTCCAATTCTGGGGGCCGAGCGCCCGGCATATTGAAATCTACAGTTTTCAAAGACTGAACTGCAAGGGCCGGCCTGTGGCTCACTTAGGAGAGTGTGATGCTGATAACACCAAGGCCGTGTGTTCGGATCCCTATATAGGGATGGCCGGTTAGCTCACTTGGGAGAGCGTGGTGCTGACAACAGCAAGTCAAGGGTTAAGATCCCCTTACCGATCATCTTTAAAAAAAAAAAAAAAAAAAAAAAAAAAAGCTGAAGTGCAGGCGCCGCTGTTGAAACGCTCCCTTGTGCTCTCCAACTCTAGCCCGTGGAAACCTGTTCCTTTCCTTCTACTCCGCACTTATACACGGGCCTTGGCCCAGCAGGGAACGGCCCCTGACTGAACGGTCACTGAACACCCACCACTGAACACCCAGTCCACACCCGAGGCGCAGACCTCCCAGGAGGAAGCCCAGGCCATCCCAACACACAACACACAAGGCCTCTAAGTTCCCGGACCCGGCGAGAGGCGGCGTTTCGGTTCCCATGGTAACTGCGCAGCTCTCCGAGTCGCGCTTCCGGGGCAGTGAGCGGCGCTCTCCAATGACATCACAGCACCACCTTCCGGCCGTTCGTAGTGCTGGATTGAAGTTGTGGGGGTCTAGGCGCCATGGGGGCCACTGGCGACGCCGAGCAGTCTCGGGGATCTGGTGGGGCAGAGCGGGGCGGCCCAGAGCCGGGGGATGCGGGCGCAGCGGGGCAGCTGGTTTTCACGGTGAGGGCGCCCCCGGTGAGGCCTGGGCTCGGGCCGGCAGGGCCTCGGGCTCCCGGGACCCCGCGGGCGAGAGAACGCGGCGGCTGGTGGTGCCGAGGGGTTGGTGTTTTCGCAGTCCGACCATCTGGATTCAAATTCTGGTGCCTCCTTCCTAGCTAGGTGACTTGGGCCAGTTCTGTCAACCCCGGAGCTCCAGGTTCCTCTTCTATAAAATTGAGATGTTGAGGGGAAGAGATGATAAAGGCAGTAAAGGGCCCGGCACATCATCTTCCACAGAGTAGGTCTTCACTGGTTCCCTTCCTCCTGCCGTTCTAGAGAAGGCAGGGTTGGGACTTTTGAGGCAAGAAACTTCCTCGGTTCCTTTCCCTAACAGGACCTTACAACCACTGTCCTCCCCCCGCCCCACGGTGGAAGAGGTGGTGAAAGGATCTGAGAAGCAGGGATGTCTAAGTTTAACTTCATACCCAACCTTAACCTCCGCCCCACCCCTGTGTCACAGGCCTCAGTGACATTTGCTCCCTTGGTCCCCACAGAACCCTTGGAACATGATGATAAAGCACCGGCAGGTGCAGCGAAGGGGCCGCCGCTCACAGATGACAACAAGGTAAGGTTGGCCCTGAGTGGGACTTACATCCCAGCACTAGCTTGGATGGCAGTTTTTGGGACCCTCACTGCACAAGGCTGAGGAGATCTACAGCCAGTAGAAAGAGCACTGGACTGGGAAAGAGGAGACTCAAATTCTGTAACTTTACATGTAACCTTGAGCAAGTCACTTCCCCGTCTGAACTCATGTACAAAATGGGGGTGGAGGGTGGATTGAACAATGTCTAAGATCCCTAACATTCACTGACTCTGTGGTTGAGGTCTCCAAACATGTCAAATAACATGGAAGTTAAGAGCACAGGCTCTGGGATCAGACAACTGTGTTCTAATGCAGACTCTGACATTTATTAACTGGGTGGCCTTGGACAGTACACTTACCCTCTCTGAGCCTCTGTTTTCTCAGCTGTAAAGTGGAGCTAAAAGTGGTATCCATCTCAGGGAAGAGAGAGCACAACATATGCCTTTGGGATGCTGGTTATATTTTTTGACCTGGATAGTAATTAAACGGATGTTCACTGTAGTTATTTGTTAAAGTATATAGACTTTTCTGTATAAATATTATAGCTCATAAAACACCTTGAAAATAATACCCACTTCATAGAGTTATTATGAGAATGAAGTAAAGTCATGCATCTGTGTGATTTGCACAGAATATGAGCACATAGTTAGTTTTCAATAAAAGCTGTCTAGTATCGTTAAAGGAGCCTATGTCAAAAACTGGTTGGGCAGGCTGGGAAAAGATGTTTGGGACATGCCCCAGCCTCTGTCTCCCTCCTGAATGCAGCTTCACAGATCCTGCCATCTCCATGGATCTCCTCCGAGCTGTCCTGCAGCCTAGCATCAATGAGGAGATCCAGACTGTCTTCAACAAGTACATGAAGGTAAGAGGGACATAAAGATAAAAAAATAACAGGGAGAAAGGCTCATGGGCAGCCCAGTTCTTCCCTGCATCACCAATCTCTGTCTTTCTCTCTAGTACCCACAGATATCTAAAGTTTTCTAATTCTGAACTCCCCAAGAACTTTTTCCCTTCTGTGATCTGCTCTGTGCTTAGAACATAATAAGTGTTCAACAAGTGTTTTTATTACTTGTTAAGTAATATCACCATTATTGTTATTTAAAATTATTTTCTTGGCCTATATAGGCCAAAAACTTTTCATGGCTCTACCTGAATGTCCCATGGATGCTTCAAACTCAGCATATTCGGAACTGAACTCTGTTTTTCTTCCTAAACCTCCTCCTCTTGTATCTATTCATTTATTCAAGAAGTATTTATTGAGTGATTACCATACTGCCAGGCACCATTCTAAGCACTCCGGATGTAGTGGTAAACACAGCAGATACTGTCTTTAAACAAATATGTTGTGGGCTGGCTAGTTAGCTCAGGTGGTTAGAGCAGGGTGTTATAATACCAAGGGCAGGGGTTTGGATCCCTGTACCCACCAGCCACCAAAATATATATACATATATGTTCTGTGTTAGGGAATGAGAGAAGAGAAGGGGGAAAGAGTGATCTGTGGAAAGTAGGGTTGCTATTTTAATATATTGTGGCTAGGAAAGCCCTCTGATAAGAGGACACTTGAGTGGAGATCCAAATAAAGGAAAGAGCAAGATACATGGGGAAAAGCAGTCCAGGTGTGGCCAGGGTGGCTGGAGCAGACTGAACCAGGACAGTAATCAGGAGAGCTGATCAAAGAGGTAACGGGCCCAGCTCTTGCAGAGCCTTTGAAGCCATGGTGTAGTAGATTGAATTATGTCCCCCCAAAACTCACTGAAGCTTGAATTATGTCCCCCAAGTATTATGTATAAAAAACAGCCTTCACTGTGACTATTAAGAGGGTGGGAAATCCTATTATGGTAATTGAAAGGTGGAGCCTTTTTTTTTTTTTAATTGAATCATAATTGACTATACATATTTTGGGGATTCAATGTTGACATATGTTA